TGATGTCTACATTGAACAACTAATGAAATTAAACAATGCAGTTGAAGAAAAAGCGGCCCAAATTGACAAATCGAAAAGGTGTTGTATTCCATCATGACAATGCAAGGCCACACACATCTTTGGTCACTCGGCAAAAATTAATGGAGCTTGGTTGGGATGTTTTGCCACATCCACCATATAGTCCTAACCTTGCACCATCTGATTACTTTTTGTTTCGATCTTTACAAAACTCCTTGAATGGTAAAAATTTCAATAATGATGATGATGTCAAATCGTACCTGATTCAGTTTTTTGCTAATAAAAACCAGAAGTTTTTTGAACGTGGGATTATGATGCTGCCTGAAAGATGGCAAAAGGTCATTGATCAAAATGGGCAATACATTACAGAATAAAGTTATTTAGTTCCATGAAAAAATTGTCTTTGATTTTCTTTAAAAAATCCGCAATTACTTACCTGCCGACCCAAGCTTCCCTTTACCTCTTGATCATTCAAACAGATATAAGTTATAATGTCTACTGGAATGGATAGAATGCTCCTATATGGTCTTTGATAGACCAAAACAAATAAAAAATGAAAGTAAACAAACCAGAAAAGATATTACAAGGTGTCAGAGGGTGGCTGTGAAGGTGTTCATATGTAAAACATATGTATCACAGAAAAAGCAAGAAAATACCCGAAATCTATATAATAGTAGATTCATTGCTGGAAGGCAGGTTCAGAGAAATCTTAGAATGAAATAGAAGTGGGAATAGCCTATGATACTATAATAAGAGAAACTAAATAATAATGAATGACTATTATTTATATTTTTGCCCACTATTATAAGAAACACAGGGGGAAAATGTTTTAAAACAGTTAAAACTAAAAGACTTGAAAACATTTGAGAAAAAAAGAAAGAGATGGAAACAATATTAAAGTAAAATGATAATAATAAAATAATAGCAATAATCCATTTGACTTTGAAACCAAGAACATTTGTCTTTATCTAGCACAGTATTGTCATATGAGAATTAAAAAGCAACATAATTTATACTGCTTATTGTATTACAATCTTTAAATATTAAGCATGAATGTCTCAATTCTGGTTATATAGAGAGTGCAAATATCCCAGCAAGATGAAAGCAAGTATGAGGCAAGAAGTGAATGAGAAGTGGAAAGGGGGAGGGATTTTGGAGTGAATGGGAAGGGGAATAATATCTTCATTTTAAGTAAAGAAGTACTTAAAAGCTTAAGGATAACATACAGAAATTTTCAAAAATTAATAAATTAAGAACCGCACAGGAGAAAGTGTAAGTGATCTAAATCTGCATTTCTCATATTGAAAACCAAAAGACATACTCTGTAGTTGCCAAGCAAAAACAGAATATAAGCTAAATTCTAATTCATATGTTAATAGTAACCAGAAACTTGAAAATAGGGAAATTGATATGGGAAATTATTTCTATTCATTACAAGTATCTCCTCCCCCCCATAATTATTGTTTGCATATTTACTATGATAAAATTTAAAATAAATGAAGATTGGAGAAACCAAGATGGTGGCATAGGTAAACACCTGAACTGCTGCCTTGCATAACAATTTCAAAACTACAACTAAATGACAAAACAGACATTATCCAGAACCACAGGAAGGCTGGCTGGGTGGAAATTATACCACTAGAAGGAAAGAGAAAAGTACACTGAGACTCACAAGAGCAGAAGAAGGCAGAGGTATAGAGGTGTGTGAGCAGAGAAGGCTGGAAACTGAGTACACAGTTGACTTTCTCAATTGGGAGGGAGACAAAAGCTCCTTACTGCTCTGTACTCCAGTTCTGGGTGAGACTCTGGGGACTCAGACTCATACAGGGAGAAACTGGACTGTCTGGCAGCAGGTGAAACTCGAGGCCAACTTTCTCTCAGAGGTGCTTACAGTAATTACTGCAGGACACTGAGACCTGAGGGTCTCTTAGGGCAGGGCTAATGGGAAGCCATTGCTGTTTGCTCCACCATGAGATCCTGCTTCACAAAGCCATTGCTATTTGCTCTGCCCTGAGACTCCGCCCCATCCAAGCTGAGTGCAGAGATTTTTGCATATGAGTGGCCTGGTCCCTTGAATTCTAAACTTACCTAACAAACTACAGCTGAGTCAGTGAGACCCAGACATCCAAAAGAAGGCCTAAGGCCCCACAGCAGCTTGCATTGCTTCACTGCTGGGCCTCATCTGGGCACCTCCAAAACCCAAACAAAGAAGAGGAATCTGCAGATCTCTTGATAGCTCCTGCTGTGTAGCCCCAGGCAGAGGCTAAATTGACACCTTCTTGGGAGATCAAACAGCCAGTGTACTCAGGAGTCAGAGTGGGACCATCCAGATTACAACTCCTCAGATCTATAAGAGACACACTCAGGGGGAAGACTCAGTGAGGATTAAAGCCCCACTGAAGCAAGTCTTGCCTCTTAAGGGTGTCTCCAGCACAGAAGTTCTCCCAGTGTAGAAACAGCTGATCACAGCCAATTGGCCGGGAGGTCAATTCCCAGTGACACCAACAACAATCAAGGCTTAACTACAACAAGACTGTGCATTCAGCTCACAAAGGAGTGCACTAAGAGTGTCCATCTCAAGTAACTGGAAAGGCTGAGCTTCTGAGCCCTATAGGACACCCAGCACACAAAATGATGCTATATCAATACAGGGAAGCAGCCAAAATGTGGAGGCAAAGAAACAGGTCACAAATGACAGAAATGGAGGAAAGCAAACTACTGGATATAGAGTTCAAAACCATGGTTTTACAGTTTTTCAAGAATCTTCTAGAAACCACCAATAAATTTAGTGATACTCTCAAGGATATGAAAAAGGACCAACTAGAAATTAAGCATACACTGACTGAAATAAAGAATAATATACAGCTGAAACCGGTTTGGCTCAGTGGATAGAGCATTGGCCTGCAGACTGAAAGGTCCCAGGTTCGATTCTGGTCAAAGGCATGTACCTTGGTTGTGGGCACATCCCACAATGTTTCTCTCTCATGATCTCTCTGATCAATGATTCTCTCTCATCGATGTTTCTAACTCTCTATCCCTCCCTCTTCCTATCAGTAAAAAATCAATAATATATATATATATATATATATATTTAAAGAATAATATACAGAGATTCAACAGAAGATTAGAGGATCCCAAGAATAAAGTCAAAGATTTGCAATACAAAGAAGCAAAAAACACCCAACCAGAAAAGCAAAAAGAAAACAGACTCCACAAATTTGAAGATAGTGTAAGGAGCCTCTGGGACAACTTCAAGCATACCAACATCCGAATAATGGGGGTGCCAGAAGGAGAGAGCAAGATACTGAAAACCTATTTGAAGAAATAATGGCCGAGACCGGTTTGGCTCAATGGATAGAGCGTCAGCTTGGGGACTGAAGGTTCCCGAGTTCGATTCCGGTCAAGGGCATGTACCTTGGTTGCGGGCATATCCCCAATGGGGAGTGTGCAAGAGGCAGCTGATCGATGACTCTCTCTCATCGATGTTTCTAACTCTCTATCTCTCTCCCTTCCTTTCTGTACAAAATCAATAAAATATATATTTAAAAAAAAAGAAGAAAAAAAGAGAAATAATTACTGAAAACTTCCTCCACCTGGTGAAATAGATTTACAAGTCCAGGAAGTGCACAGAACCCCAAACAAAAGGAATCCAAAGAGGACCACACCAAGACACATCATAATTAAAATGCAAAGAGCGAAAGACAAAGAGGGAATCTTAAAAGTAGCAAGAGAAAAACAATTACTTCTAAAGGGAGCACCCATACTATGTTAGCTGATTTCTCAGCAGATACTATGCAGGCCAGATGGAAGTGGCAAGAAATATTCAAAGTGATGAATAGCAACAACCAAGATTACTCTACCCAGAAAAGCCATCATTCAGAATTGAAGGTCAGATAAAGAGCTTCACAGAAAAAAAAAAAAAGCCAAAGAAGATCATTACCACCAAATCAGTATTATATGAAATGCTGAAAGGTATTCTTTAAGAAGAGGAAGAAGAAAAAGGTAAAGATAACTAATACATATCTATCAACAGTGAATCTAAAAATCAAGTGAATAAAAAATCTGATAAACAGAATAAACTGGTGAATATAATAGAATCAGGGGCATAGAAAGGAAGTGCACTGATAATTCTCGAGGGGAAAAAGGTGTGGGGGGTGTGGGAAGAAACTCAACAAAAATCATACACCTATAGATGATGACAATGGGGGAGGAGGTAAGGGTAGAGAGTGAAGTGGGAACGGGTTGGAGGGGAGCTATGCGGGGAAAACAGAGGAACAATTGTAATGATCTGAGCAATAAAAATTTATTTTTTAAAAAGAATAGAATACAATAAAAATTTAATTCTGCTTTTGAGATTTTGAGGGCGAAACAAATAAAATAAATAAAGATTAATTGAGCTTTTCTAGGTTACAAAGCAGAGCTCCATAAATAATTAAGTTGCATCTGAAAATAAATAAGGCTTAATATCTAGACTTTGGTCAATGAGTAATTTGCAGAAACTGGCTATATAAGAAAGAATTTTGAATGAATGGACATACTGATAAATTTACACACCAAATTAATAGCTAGAATAATATTTTTTAAAGTAGCTATAAGTTTAACTGACATACTAATTTTCAGCTGTTTTGCATCTAAAATAATAAGTAAATATTTCTCTTAAGCACATTTTATGCAAGATCCTTTGTGTGATGTTTTATTGATCACTATTAAAAGAAAGATGTCACATTTACAGATGTTTCTACATAGAGATTTTTCCCCTAAAGATTGCAAGTTAATTGCAAGTGTTTTCAATTTGGTTAGTTCTGCCCACTGGCCTACTCAGTGGAGCAGAGATAAGTGCACAAAAAATAAAACAATTTCCGGATAAAGAGAGACTTTTTTTCATTCAAAAACTATAAATAGTAAATGTCTCTTAGCTTTTTGGAAAGAGCTCTGGTCTCTAGATTTTGTTACCAAATCTTTCAGGAGCGTTTTTCTTCAGAATGAAGGTCTTTTATTACTTTCTCCATTTTCTATGTTATGTGAGCTTCATTCTAACAGGTAAGAGATGCTTTTGGCGTGTTCATAAGTAGCATTCAGATTCTAGCTGCAAATATTAGATTATGAATTGGAAAATGCAGATTCAATCTTTTTCTAATACAATCTTTTCAATTAAAAGTATCTTTTGATTATGTTGAATCTTGGTTTCCTCGTTTGGAATAATGTCATATAAATGTACTTTAATGGCTTGATTTTGAAAATTAATATACAGATAAAATGAGAAGATCTTTTGCCTTTCAGGGACCTTAATTTATTTTAGATATTTAAATTATTAAGAAAATAATAATTTATTAAGTTTATTTTTAAGATTCAAAAGTAAAGTCTTCATAATAAATTTGCCCCAGGGAAGATGAATGCACTGAGAACAATAACATATATCTTTTGGGATATCAGTAATAGAGTGTAAGATGATTTAGGATATAGCCTCAGAATATGCTGGACAATAAGGTACAACAGGAATAAAGGGACAAGTAAAGAATATCCTCTAAGGCAATACAAACTTAACAATGGAGGTGTAAATGTATTTCTGGAGGTATCCTAATTTGGCGCTAGAGTTGAAAATTCAAGAGATACATTATGTATTAGAAATAGAACTGAATTCAAACTTAGAAGATCTACTACTAGCTGCCTACTAAAACTTGCCACTCAGAGTGAATTGTCAATGTCCTTAACAAAAGAGAGAGAGAGAGAGAGAAAGAGAAAGAGAGAGAGAGAGAGAGAGAGAGAGAGAGAGAGAAAATGTAGAGTATAAGCAGAATCAATAATAACCACAATTTTAAAAATAAAACATCTAATATAAAATACTGTGCTTGTGAATTTCATGCACCTCAAACTGCAGTTAAAATTTAGTAAAACAAAGTACTGGTATTGGAAAGTAGCCCAACAAACTGAAAATGAGACTATCAACTTAGGTATTATTATTATTATTACAGTCATTGCTATGATTAATAATAAAAGGTTCCTGAGTAAGTGAGGACCTCAAATATGATTAGGGAAGGTGTTGGGGCCCATGGTGCTAGTATGTCAATAGATCAATAACCCTCTAATTTAGAGTGCCTAGTGATCTCCTGAGCAAAATGCTAGACACTGAGAAAACAGAAATTAAAGACAGCAATGCTTTGGGCATACTTACAAGCTCATTGAAAAAAAAATCAAATAACTTAATGGATTTGCTTTATTTCAAAAGTTTATATAAAAGTTTTAAATAGTAGAAATGGTGAAATTATGGCAATTGTAGAGGTTTGGGAAAATGTCCCAAATTTTCTGATGAAAAGCTTTGAAATTTAGAATAAGTCACTTGTATTTAGAACTTGGAAAGTGAAGGAAAGAAAAAAATATTAGTGTCCAATATGTGCCAAACACTATGTTATAACTTTTCATGTAGACATATAATCAGTCCTTCTAGGAAACATTCTCAAGTGACTGCTATCGCCTCTCTTTTTAGAAGAGAAAAATGATATCAGAGGGGATAATTTTTCAAGGTCACACCTAGATGACTGTGTGTGATATGCTTAATACGAACTCACGCTTTTCAGATCCCAGCATATTTGTTCTTTCTTCTTCTTCATGCTTCCTATAAAAGGCACTGAGGTTTTTAAAAAGACTGACTAGATAATGTGGTCAAAGGCAGCAGGGTCACATGGGAAGAGAGCTGCACATCAGAGTATCAGGTCTGTACCGTCAAACTGTATTTTCTCAATATTGCAGAAAACATTAAAATAAGAAACTAAAACATGAGCACAAGCTTCCCTTTACTGCTTGATCATTCAAACAGATATGTTATAATGCCTACTGGAATGGCTAGAAGGCTCCTAAATGGTCTTTGATAGACCAAAACAAATAAAAAATAAAACAAACCAGAAAGGGTAATACAAGGTGTCAGAAGGGTGGCTGTGAAGGTGTTCATATGTAGAACATATCTATCACAGAAAAAGCAAGAAAAGGCTTTCACTCTACATGCTTCTCTTGTGGCACTGATTAGCTTGTATTAATTAGTTTGTATCTAGGCAATTTATAAATTGATCTTAATATTTTTCTGTATTTTATCCACCTGACTTAAATAATTCTACTTTCTCAATTTGTAAACCATTTAAATATTTTTGAGTAAGCTAAGAAACAAATAAAACATAAATATTAATATTTTAGATGATAAAATAACAATGATAAATTGGGAGAAATAGTTGCAATAGACACATGATAAAGGGCTATTATTCAAAATATATAAATAATTTTTAAAATCCAACAATAAGAAAATAAAAAACCCACTTTCAAAAAAGACCAAAATTCTTAAGTCACCTTGCAAACAAGTTATACAAGTGGTAAATAAGCATATAAAAGGATGATCCACATATATGTTATCAGGAAAATGCAAATTAAACCAATAGTAAGATACCATTTCACACATATTAGAGAGGCCAAAATCCAGAATACTGGTAACACCAAATTATGGTGAGGCTATGGAGCAACAGGAACTCATTGCTGGTGGAATGGTAAAATGGTACAGCCAATTTGGAATGCAGTTTGGCAGTTTCTTACAAAACCAAGTTTACTGTTACCATATGATCCAGCAATTGTGCTCCTTGGTATTTACCCAAAAGAGTCTGCACAAACACAAATGGATGTTTACAGAAGCTTTATTCATAGTTTCCAAAACTTGGAAGCATCTAAGATATCCTTTAGTAGATGGATAAATTATCTAGACAATGCAATATTATCCATTGCTAAGAAAAAATGAGCTATGAAGCTAATGAAAAGACACATGGAAACCTTTAATGCATATAACTAAGGGAGAAAAATTCAATCTGAAAAGGCTATGTATTGTTATGATTCCAACTACATGACTTTCTATAGAAGGCAAAACTATGAAGATAATTTTAAAAAGTCAGTGATTGCCAGAAGGTTTGGGGGAGAGAAGAAGTAAAGCCCAGAGATTTTTAGAGCAGTACAAATACTCTGTATTAGATATATAATGCATTTGCCAGAATGCATAGATTGTAAACTATGGACTTTGGGTAATTATAATCTGTGAATGTAGGTTCCTCCTTGGTACCTTGGTGGAAAAAAAAGTGTGATGTTGTTGAATAATAGTGATGATGGAAAAAGCTATGCATGTATGGATGTAGGCGCTATATGGGGAATCTCTGTACCTTACCCTCAATTTTTTTTTGTAAAACTAAAACTACTCTGAAAAAAAAATCTTTAAAAACTGAAAAACACAAAAAAGCTATTATTAATTAATGAGCAATAAAAACATATGCTAATAATGTAATAAACAAAGTATGTGAGTAAATAAATAGAGAAGTAAATGGAAAACCATTCAAAACAGAAACTAAAGGCATAAGAATTAAAATTGCAGTCTATTTTGGGGCAAAAGTTACATACATTGCTAGTGGTAATATGTAAGTTAAAAACTCTGAACTCTATCTCTTTTACAGCTATTTCAAATATGTGTCATGTAAATATTAAAATATGCAATGTCATTTAATTTGTTTATCACAATGCTAAAATGTTAAAGCTTTAAGTATGACCTAGTTGAAAGATTGAATAAATTGTCTCTTATAATTTCAATGGAGTATATTTTGAAGCTCTAAAAAATCTTCAATCTTTGTTAAGAAGAGTAATATATGACAAAATTTAATTTTGTGTTTATTAAAAACAAATTTCAATTTTATGGGGATATGTAATATTTTAACATCATTTTTTTATATTTTCCAAATTTCTTACAATGTACACATTGTATTTTTTGTAATTAGAAATAATATATTCAAAATAAGAGATCAGTAATTTCAGTTATTCTTTTTTTACTATAGCTACATGTACCTTGGTGGATCCTGAGAAGTGTTCAAAATCTTTTGGTATCTGTAGAAAACGCTGTTTAAAAACAGAAAAGCAAATTGATATATGTTATTCACCAAGTAAGATTTGCTGCTTTGAGAGAGAATTTGAAGATGATTAATCTGGAAAGGAAGATGTACCTCTAACCAAAGAAATCATGTGTTCACCAATGCAGAGAGATATAGAAGCATAACTAAATAAACACACAAACCAATGTTGATATCTTCCTTTGTAGGCACTATTTATGTATTCAATGAAATAAGGCAGCTTCTTTCTTATTGTGTCTAAGCTAGAGGTTTTGGTAGAGACACATTATGGTTGCTTGCTTCAATTTAGGACCACTTTTGAGAGGTTATGGTTCAACTAAACTTAAACATTTCCCAACTTAACCATAATCCCATTAGAAATTTGATTCATAAAAATTAACAGCCATAGACTTATCAATTATCTAGCTGTCATCAACATGTTAGTGATGTGAAGTGACAGGACACCTAAGGAGTGTGATGAACACATAAGTGACAGCAGAGCATAGAGATAACCATTGGCCTTTGTTCTCTTCTCTCAAGTTTCTGCTCCTTCAAAAAGGCATGTTAATTGAACACAATCTGATTCTAGTATTATTAATCTAGATTTAAATACAATCTGAACTTTGGCTAAAGAATTTAGCCTCAAAATATTAGCTCAGCATTTTAAAATTAGTTCGAGATAGCATAAGAAATGCATACAGTATGTTATTTCAGCCTCAATATAAGCAACAGACAACCGAAATAGTGTCTGTAATACTGAAGTTAGGGAAGAAACTTGGAGACTAAAAATTTTCCAGCTAAAAATAAAGGCTAAATCAACCCTTTATTAAGATTCTACCAGCTTCCCAAATATATTTGTTAATTATCATGTCTTTTTAAACTATCTGAACTACTGGTCCAAGATTATTATGTGTGTGTTTTCTCCAATTAGGAATCTGATTAGGCTAGTGGGAATTTCCACCTTAAATAGCTTGTAACTGATCAGGCATCATTTTTAGCCACCAGGAATTTAGGAGATGTGTATCTTTAAAAAAATGGTTAATTCATGTAGAAAGCACAAGTTAGAGGCAAGGAGGATAACCAAAGCCTATACAATCACAAATCAGATCCTATGAGGATCAAATTTAAGTATTTCTGAAGAGAATAAAGAAAAAGCTCTAAGGGCAAGGAACAAGTTAAAATAGTTAAAAGTGCAATAACACATAAGGCAAAAATAATTTGAGATTTACATTAAAACTGTGAAGAAAGAGATTTTGGATAGTGGTGACGGGGACATCATAGTAGCTTAAAATAGAACAACTAAATGGTGAAGTCAAAATTCATGAAAAAATTTACAACAAAGTAGGTGACAAGATATCCTGATTTATGTTATCATATACATGGGAAGAGAAAAACAAAACAAAACACAACAACAACAACAACAACACACACAAAGAGCTTAAAGGCCTTTGTGGAATCTATATCTGTGTGGGAGAAATTCGATAAAGAAAAGCAACTTTTTGATGAATCTGAGAATGGAAGGTCCTCAGAGTGCCAACAGTATTCACAGGAAGGATAGCATGCCAATTTGATTCCAGCAGCTATAACTGGGAGGAATTTCCCAATTTAAAAGGGTAAGTGAAGCAATAATAGGCAATGACTGCCAGAGCTGGAGAAAACTATTCCTCTGAACTGAAACTGACAAGACAGACTTCTATTAGAAAAACAAAACAACAAAACTCTTGAGAGTGTGGGGGGAAAGTGGCCAGGACTAGAAAAATTGCAAAGGGAAATGGAATTTTCCAAGCCTACTGTCAGTGGCAGATCCATGTCCAGAATGAGCATTTCTCAATATCCCAGTTTAGGGTGTCAATGACAGAAAAAGAATGATATAAAAAATACACAGTCCTAAAACTCTAACCAAGGTATTGGCTGCATCATGGAAAAATGCTAATTCATAATTCCACTTAAATAATGCTATATTTTCTCTATACTGGTGCTTGACAGCTGTCATCTTCTGTTATTTGTAAGTTCTAATAAGTGAACATACATGCTTCACCCTCCTGGTGTAAGACAGTGTAATTTGAGAATGTATTTTTAATCTGGTGAGATAATGTCTTTCTCCTCTGGCATCACTGGCAATAAATAACATCTTTCTAGATAATAAAAAAGGAGACATTGTTAATTTATACAGTGAATAACAATATCACATGGTCTAAATTATTTGGCAAGAAAATTCATATTTTATGGGTTTAACTTTTTTTTTCTTATAAAGTCTAGTTACCCAAAGTAACAAAGATTTTATGCTAACATAACTTCATTGAAATCAGTGGAGATCAATATATTGGGTTATCAGTATTTTTACCATTGTGCCCTATATGTTAAGATTGCTTTCACTTTGTGAGTCTCTCTCCCTGAGTGACTCATTTAAAAATGCAAATAATTCTTAAAAAGGTCAAAGATTAAGTCATCTATCCATGATATGTATGAATGCAATAGTTGCTTTCTTTTGTGATAATGTGAACTTGAGTACTATATTGAGGAACGGACTCAGAAAAGGAGACATGAGGAGATGCTAACCAAGTTAATCCTTCTTCAGTGTATGTCTAAGGCACACCCTTATTCCCTCACTAGCCTTAGATCATTGTGTGTTCAAAGAATCCCTCTTACCCCAGTTTCTGCTAGAATTCTCTCCATCCTTCCTTTAAGAAAGAATCCTAAAGATGAAAGCAATTTAACAATTTAAACAACTAATTTTTCCATGTTTTAATTCTAAAGCCTAAAATATGTATGTTTGATTTCTTTTGAATTAGAGGAAAAAACAATTAGGTTGGTAGATAGCCACAGAGATATATGATGTCTGTTCCAAAACCACACTGGTCTAACAAAATCTATTTAGGAATATTTATGAAAAACTAAGCTTTAGCCACTAGTAGGTCCAGCTAAAACCTGGAGAAGAAAAACAGGCAATGAAGCCAAAAATACCACAAAATAGTCATTGCCAGAAAAATAAATCATTTCCTCAACAAGGGAGAAAACTTAACATATGCAGATGCTATAATAATTTTCCTGTCAATGATTGCTTAATAATTAATTAGCTAATTATTAATGACCATCTCAACAAGCTTGGGACCCAAATACACATATGATAATGCAATAATTTCTATGCTTTTCTTTCACAGTGAAATGTGCCATGAAAGACACCATTAGCTGTTTTATCAAGAAGGGCAAATGTAGAACTAAGTGCCATGTAGATGAAAAAGTCATTGGTGTCTGCTTGAATGGAGAAGGCATCTGTTGTGAATAGATGTCTGAAGTAAAATCAGCTTTCCTGAAAAATAAAGCACAGTCAATGTGACTAATAAATGGAACTGAATTATCATCTACTCTTAATATGTTATGTTTTGCTTTCCTGGTCACATCACACCACTTGAGGAACTAGGTTCTTTCCCAAGGATCCTAAGCAATAGCCGAAGATATTCACTAGATTGGGTTATTCTGTGGAATCATGCCATCGTTTCAGATATAAGTTCTCTATTAACTGGCAGGAAAATGCTACATGATACCAAAAAAAAACTATAATTATCAGGATTCTTCGATTTGAAGGTATTTCAAATTATCAGAACATTTCTCCAAGTGAGGGAGTTTAGAGAGACCAAAGAAATGAAACAAATAGGATCTTTGGCAGGTTATGGATCAGGGGACCTGATTCAATGAGAGCAGGGAGTCCTAATACCAGTTAAACCCTTCAGTTTTGTGGTTTTTTTTTGCATTTGTTTTATCAAACAGGGAACTTAAAAAAGAGACCATATTTAAAACTAAGCGTAGATGTATGGCAATGAAAACAGGCAACAGGGAGAAAACTAGAAGAGACCCACAGATAGGACCCAGAGAGCAGGGGACAAAAAATTTAGTTGATCACTACAAACGATAATTCTTGCTCACTAAAAAACATTAGAAATTTTATTAACAGTCATATTCCTATATCATACATTAATGTGTGGTTTTGGAACACTTTGTGATACAGAAATGTTTTTGACTGACACAACAAGTCTAGGAGGTAATGCAGTGCTCCTAGACACATATCAGGCAACTAACAAGAGAATTGTTCTTAGCCCAAATACTGGAACCAAATTATCAAGGTTCTAATTTGGGGGAGCAATCACTGTGGGATTTCTTAAATATCTGATTTGTTACATAATGTTTTGAGAGTTTGTTTGGCCATATAGTTAATTACACAGTTATATACAACTAGAAAATAGGCTCTGTTGTACAATGAATACAATAAATTTAAACACAGATTTGAATGCATTAGAACAGCTGGAGAAAGAGGGCAAGGTAAATGCAGAGTTGAAAAAAAGAAACCATATCTGAAACTAAGGAGCAGCCATAGACAATGAAAATGGGTAATTAGGGAGGTCTGATGACCATGTGTTTATGTTTAGCTGCTAGCACTGTAAATAAGCTTAGGAGATGAACTGTTAATTAGATTGACCTGGTAGTCAAGTAATAAATGCTTAAACTTTTATTTCTTTTTATCTGTTTGTTTTCTTATACATAAAACTTTTTAGGTTCTCTATAGTAACTGAAACTTTTACAAAGAGATAGGAAAACCAATTCTATAATTCCTCGAGCTTGTATAATATAGCTCCAAACCAATTTTCCTTTGAGTACGTAATCCATATAAGAAAAAAGTCACTCTCTTATAACCTAGACTATTAATTTCAAAATTTTACACAAATAAAACCCATTTTACACAAAACTTCATAGTTCTTTCATAGGCCAACAATTACAATTTAGGGAGTTTAAGAAACTATAGTATGATCTGAAATTAATCTGCATATGCACACAGATACATATGAAGATAAGGAAAGAGGATGCATAGATGATGATAGATAGATAGATGATAGATAGATAGATGATAGATAGATATAGATTTATTATTCTATAGGCAACCTTTGTATGCATTTGTATTCACCAACCACTTTCAATCAGCTTCCTACTGGATCCTTGAAAAAAAATTGGATAACATTGGCATAAACAGTTCTACAAAATGTTCTTAAACTCTATACATTGCTCTCAATACCACAGTGATTGGGGCACATAAGTAACTAAG